ATCGGAACGGAATTATTGTAGATTTAGAACCCACGTAGTCCAAGTCCAAATCGATACTTCTAAATTTGATACTGTATGATAAAATTAACTTCGATACTGTAGTCGATTGACTTATCGATAGTTAAAAAATTACATCATGTTATGATAAATTGTCAGGATAAAACATAAATTTTATCATTTTTTCTTTATTTCACTTTTTCGTTCTTTACAATTTTCTCTACTCGATAACCAAATCTCAAGGTTATTGTTTTTACCTTGTAATGCATTCAAAGATTTGCTTTCCACATATCTTAGTAACAAGTCGACTAATAGGCGATGTAAAACCTTTACAACATGTGAAACTTTAATTTTTGTATTAAAGTTTTATAAGATCCAGCAAATATAATAATTGGGAATGCAAAAGATCGTTATTGGGTAAAAATGCATTTGCAATACATGATTTCGAAACGCAACTTATTAAATTTGACTCAGACCTATTTGTGTTTATTGGGTCACGACAAGTTTCCAGAGTTGGAGATTATTTCTTCAATGCTTATAAGCTTTTGACAAGTGTTTGCAATCCTCATCACAGATAGGTAATATTAGATGCAATTGCAAAATGTGTGTGTGATAGTTGTGAATGTTAAAAAATGAATGAACCTTGTAAGAATAATTGTCATCCCACTAATCAAGTATAATGCTTTTAAATTTAATTAATTGGCAGTGCGCTGTGTTATGAATAACCCTTTCCAGAAGCGACTTAAATTCCAAAACAGCGGACTCGATGAAATAATTTGGAATACACTTAATTTTATTGTAAGTTGAATTGAATTCTTTAACTACTCGGCCGCATTTAAGAATTCTATTACCTATGTTTATTAGGAATCAACCTAGGTATATTCTAAATCTACAATAACTCCATTCCGACGTACGACATATATATTGTCAAATTATCACATTGGCGAACCGCAATAAAAATTGCAATTAATTGGCTGCGCCACCAATCAATTAATTGGGGTCAAATAACAATCAATTATTTGGTAGGCCTGTTATTAGATTACCCAGATAAATTATTATTATGTATTCCGGGTAGCAACTCTACCGAGCTTAATTTTTTTCGTAATTTAAAAATCTATTGGCCGATCGCTCTAATCTTAACCGTTAATGTTGACAAAACTATCGGGATTTGGGATTTGAGATGGGGATTTGGGACGAAGTTTACTAGGATTTGGGACAATTTTATTACATTTGGATTTGGGATTTGGGTGGGATTTTGAGGATTTATAGTTTTGCCAACATGTATATCCGTGAGCCAAGCTGAGCCAACCGTTTGCATCATTATCCGTGGATACCCACTCGATTTAAAAAATGGTGTTCTTGAATCTTCACACGAGATTATATCATCCTTGCAAATTACATAATGTTTCTCTCGAAATAAAATTTCGATCGTATTTGTATAATGGCAAGGTGAACTTCAGTGTAAAGGTGGGCATGGTTATTAATTGTCACAACTGAACTGGAAACGGCTGAAATTGGAAATGTTTTATTCAAAATTTTAGGATGACTTTTTTTATAGTTAGGGTTAATTTTAATAATAAAGAATTTTAATAGAGTTTATAGAAACTGCTAAATATTTTTAACGCTAGAAAATTTTGGCGATTGGTATTTTTCGAACGTAAACTTCTTTTTTTGATACAGTAGTAGTTCATTAGACTAAATTCCTTTGTGTTTATCATATTCTCGTGAAATGCTCTCTAAAAATAATAATGCATGGTTTCGAAATAATGTCAATGCATCACGAAATAATAACTCAGTAGTCAGTTGCGATATTAATATGCAATATTGCTATAGAATACAATATCAATATCATGCGTTTTTAGAGAATCTGATAGATTTAATTTCTTTTCAAATATTTGCATTCTCAATGTAAAGAACTAATTTGTAAATAAAATATAAAAAATTGATATCGATATGTTTCAATACAGATCAAAAAAAAATATATCTTATATATATTTATCATTCCTAATCTTTTATCAACAACTCTAAAATCTTTTCAATTTTATATTCCATACTTTTAATCTTATCTCGTAAATCATCAATGCCAGGCTGACTTTTAACGTCAAGTTCCCGAGGGGGTTTTCTGTCACTAATGCCACTTTGCGATTCACTACTAACTTTTAAAAGCTGCGTAGTGCCTTTCATTTTTTGTTTGCTAGATTTGCTAACATTATACTTATGAAAGCTGATAGCATCATCGAATAAAAGATCATCATCACAATCATCTTCGTCTTGATCATAATCAATACTCCAATCTGATGATAAATCGACTTCTTCGTCAAGCAAAGATCTATGTGTTAACTGATATTCTTCGACTTTTGATAACCACTGATCTAGATCATCAGATTTTCCAACGTAGTAAATGTAACGTGAATCTTCACGTGTCTTGCCAAATAGTTTTACCAAAGTCTCATACTCAAAAATTAGATCCGCTCTGTATTTCAAAACTGCATCTTCGCCAGATGATTGAGCATCTTCGAATGCACCTCTATTATTTGTTTAATATCGAGAAAAGTAAAAAGCATGAAAAAGGTATATATGACATGGTATTAGGGATGGGCACGGTCGCGAGTCGCGACTCGCTCGTGCCCTTGGATCGAATCGACTCGAGCATGTCGAAATTTTTCAATAATAAATATACGACTTAGCTTAGTCGATGAGCCATTCGACTCGACTAGTGCAGAATCGATTGATTCTGTTCGAGTCGTGACCATCCTATAAACATTACTCACGTCATGAATGCAATCAACATATTTTGCATAATTGTGACGAGTAAAAGACTCGCAACTATTAAGAATAAAAGTTAAAATTAAAGGGTTCATTTTTCACAAATAAATTTACACAATATCCTCTTTGAGTACATACGAAGAGTTATTATATCAACTGGTACAAAATTCCATTGATCAAGTTGGTCCCATCTACCATTAACCCAGAAAAAGACGGCTTCTAGCGATTTCCAAAAGTTCGAAAAGTAATTATCATTAATATCGAGGGGATCGGATTCTTGTGATATAATAAGTTCAGGGAACAAATTATCCTTTGTATTTGAGGAATTTACGATTAGAAAATTTGATCCGCTGGGAACTAGACCTAATTGGTTCGGGTTTCGTAATAAAATGTACCTATACACGAAAATAATTGATATTAGTATGAAATGAATCAGGTTTGCAATCGTTACTTTGAATAACGATAGGCTTACATTGCGTGACCTATACCAAAGACAACTATTATCATAAATGCTAAGAATGGCCAAATTATTTTCATGATATTCATGATAATGTAGATGAAAGTTGCTGAGCCTAAATAAAAAAAATTAAAAAGTATATACATGTTTTAGAGGAACGCCCCAAGTTTGGAAATATAAGATGTAAATGAATGAGTTGAGTTTTATACAGTATTTAGCGAGGATTATTTTTATATCTCGTTTTGATTATTGATACCCTATAAATTAAGATTTTTGAAACTTGGAGCGAATATGTCTCGATAGCTATCTAATTAAATTCGATGAATGTTTGAATTTGTTAAAAAAAGTTTCATTGAATTTGATTCAGTGGTTATTGATATATCCTTATTCAAAGTTTTAAAAAAATTTTGACAAAGCCTCGATTTTGATATACATTTTGTGGTTTTTTAAAACTTTGACAACCACATAATCAAACTCGGTGAAACTTTTTTTTTGTTTTAAATTTTATAGATACATAGAATTCAAATCATTAAATTTAATCGAGACATCTTGCTCAAAGTTTTGAGGAATTTAATTTCCGGGGGTATTAATAATCAAAGTGAAGGCATAACAATAATCCCTATATAAATTATGAATATATCGATACAATACTTCTAAAAAATCGTAACAATAAAAGCTATAAAAAAAACAAATATATAATAATAAAATGATGGTTAATAAAATTTCATACAAATACAATAAATTTAATGAATGACATACCAATTGCGACCACATAATAAGAATGGTAAACGCCAAAGCAATGCTATACGATCTCTTTGGAAGGGAATCATCGGACTCCAACATCATATATATATTTGATGTAATAACCAGACACACAGGCATAATGCAAGATCCCAAGTCAAATAAGTTATATACACTAATGTATTTAGTGAACCCTTCGTGCCTAATTTGTAGAATCTCAACAATTATTAAATAATATCCCAAATAAAAAAATATACCCTGAAGAATTAAATATAAATTTTTATCCATAATAGGTGCTAAATTCAAACCACCATCTGTCAATCCGGTAAGGACCCCGAATAAAATAGCGAAAACAACATAGATGAAGGCGTGACGTAAAAAATGAGTACGGGCTGTTGACCATTTGTAATCAATTATTGCGGCTATCGCAGGATTACTAAATACCACATCGCTCTTATCACGACAGATTGTACGAAGGAACGGACTACACTGTGAGTCTTCAGTGATATCATATGCGCGTGGCCAAATTAACGCTCTTAAAATTCGTAGTAGTAAAGGAATTTTGGTATGATCTTTAACAACGCCCTGAGGATACACGGTGAAATCTAATAATATAAAAGAATGTGGTATATAGAGCGTATAAATTACTGTATATCCATTAATTCTTTTTAGATACTTTGTAAAAGATATAATTGTACCTGGAAGAGGGACCACACGTAAGTTAGATAAGGAAGATGTGTCACGTTTAATAATCTCATAAAGTCTATATTAAATTATTTTAAATTATATAATCTTGAAATTGTTAACATTCAAAAAAGATAAAATAATAAAATAAATACATATATACCCATATTTTTTACTCTTGTATGTTTCTTCCGCTTCCCTAGCAAGTTGTTCGAACGAAAACATGCCTTTTAAACTCGAAATTGCTTTAATAAGTGATAATTTTTTTTTAAGTTGTTCAGGACTTATGACCGATTTGCGTAAAAGAGCTGGTTTGAGATCCAAAGCATGAATGGTTTTATAATGTGCTTCATGCAAATCCTCGGGATTTATAAAAGAAACATCAACGTTTATTTCTTTTGCACCAAAACATGATTTATGAAACAATTCTTTCACATAATAACCTGAAATCCAAATTTAAGATTAGTAATAATGACAATAATCATGTTTATACTTGCTGGCAAATTTAGTTAAATCTAAATTTGCCAACTGTTGAGGTTAGGGTTGTAGTATACTCCGATGCTACTCCCAACTCAGATTTGAGTGGGTAAAGAAAAATAACTATAAATTTTGGTGCAACCTGAAATAGAATCTGGAGCAAGTCTAATTTAATGGAATGGGTTGAATGTTGGACCCATTAACAACCCTACCAACAATCACATCATGTAAGTTTATTAAAGTATTACCCATGTTATGATCATATAATTCCGGGAGTGCTGAAGATACAGTAGTCATCCAACCAGCATTATTCATCGCGTTATCAGAATAATAATTCAATAGATATCCAACTATAACAGTATCATTACGATTAGCTCCAGCGCATTTAATGGCTAGTTCTAAATCACTTATTTTTGGTTCTAAAGGCCATTCGTATTGTCTAGGAAAGTGCAAATTTTTTCCCATTGCTAAATTAGTTCCGTGATAACCTTCGGATAAAATTTTTTTGATCAAAGAAACACATCGACCACGAATTAAAGATTGCATTATTTCATATCTGGCATCAGTCATTCTCCAAAGATCTGGATTTGTTGTCATAATTCTCATTAACATATCAGTTGTTTGTCTAACTAATATATTAAACATATGTTTTTTCCTCATTGATGTTGGTTCAGTTCGTCTAGAATAAAAATATTCAAGAGCAGTACACGCATCTTTCAAGGTGTGACGGTTATAAGGCCAATGAATTTGGACGTTTCCTTTATCTGGAAACGATATATCTATGAAAAATTCTCCATTACCGATTGAAATGCTTTGAATATCAAATTCTGTCTTATCAACACTTGTCCAGATGTACTCTAATCTTCTTTTGATTAAATCATCAGTTCTACTCCATACTTGTATTGTTGTTTGTCCAATAATTACTTGATAAGTTTTATCATCATTAAGATAAGCAGATATACGAGGATATTGTCCAAAACGGACCCAAGGTTCTGTACTATATACAATAATAACATCTCTTGGTTCTTGTCTTGCATCAAAGAATTTTCCATCTTGAGTAAAAATTATATGATTAACTTGATCCATTTGTTTTCGAGCATCCTGAAAATTCAATTGAATAAGCCCTGATAATGAATTCGGAGGCGGGTTTAAAGAGTCTTGTAGAGAGGGATGATCAAGAATTGAAAATACATTTCCATTTTCTTCATCTATACAAACAATATTCCCACTAGCGCTGGAAAATCTATAATAATAATCTTGAAATTTTGTTGGGATTAGTTTTTCAGTATCCTTAATAGTTATAATAGACTTTTCTGATGCACTAAATAAATCCCAAATCACAAAAACTGTAATCAATTCATCATTTTCAATGCTCTCTTCTTCACCAATTATAAGTAATTTTTCGTCATCATGAATAAAATCTAATGAGTTTATTCTATAAAGATTCGGAAACATTTGAGTTGCAATTTCTAATGAATTTTCCATCAAATATAATGATATGCTATTAGTACCACTACAATAAGCCATCAGCACATCATTTTTCGAAATTTCGACCAAAGAATTTCCGCCTGTAATCAACTGAGATAATTCTTTTCGTACATGAAAGAGCTTATGGAGTTCACCGGTTTTTAAACTATAGAGTTCCAAGAATTCCACCTTTTCTACAACAAAATAATGTTTTTCTATACTTCGGTGAAATAATGGCACTCTTAACTTGAGATCGTTGATAGCATCAATTTTCTTGGTAATAGGAGTTGGAAATAAGAACTCTTCCGAGAATATGGTTGATACATTTTGATTAAAGTTTCCACTTCTAGTTACGTAATTGGTTCCAATAATGGTTTTCGAGATCCCCTCACTGTGAATTATTATCAAGTCAATTTCATTACTTGGTTGAGATTGAGAAATAGGGAGGAACCTTATGACTCCACCGATTTCATCCAATGAGGTTTTTAATCTATCCTCATAGAATGCTGAAAGAATCCAAGTACGCGGAAATCTTTTTGGTAGAAGTGGGCGACCTTCTTCTACATTATCAAGTGATGAATAGTCAACATTATCATCTAGAATTCCTCCAAGGCGGGGTTGTTTTTCTTTGGGTTTCTGATTACTATTTTCATCGAAACATGAAATACCGATTAACGTGTCCAAATGGTTACCAAGGTTTATGGAATTGGAAACTGCTAATGACCAACGTAAATTGGGATTCGATGTGTTTATATTTTTAAATCCTTTATAGTTTATCGTTTTTACGGAAGTCAAGTTCTGTATCTTGCGTAAATTCAACTCCAAAGTCGCTAATAAATAATGTTAACTATTTTTTTCATCATAATTTATAAAATTTTTAATTAAAATTCAGATTTATCGTTATACCTCTGTTAAATGTAACAACATTTTGACCATCCGGACTAAGAACTATTTGATATTTTGGGTTTTCAAAACTCGGATTCATTTTAAGCAACAAACATAAACATTTTAATGGTCTTAAATGTTAAATTTCATTAAAGTTTATCAACTTTTTACAAAATCTTGGGCGTTATTAATGTCATTTAATTTTTGTAACAAATCTTTTGGCGTTAATAATATTACCAGAATAGGTTTAATATTTCTTTAGGGAGTAGTTACGTGCGTACGTACGTACATAACGGCGGGGTCACAAGTTGTTAATAGAATCAAGTTACGTAGCCGTTTGTAATCAACAAAAATTTGGGGGAGTCAGTAGAAACACACCATATTTTTTTCTAAGTAAATCTTTTTAAAGTTTTAAACAAAAATAACTTAATCAAAAATTTTTTTAAAACAATTCTAAAAACTTAAAGCTTTTGCTAAGTTATTTTTGTTTGAATATTTAAAAAAAATTTATTAAAAAGATATGGTGCGTTTCTACTTACCCCCATTTGTTTTGAACTATCTTAGGTCCTATGAATCACTAATTGGATAGAATTTCTAGAATTAGAGCTCATAATGAGTACTTCTTTGAGATAATCTGGCAAATGTGTATATCATAACAGATATGCATACTTCTGTATTTACGGAACTTTAGTTTTTTCCGAATCATATGACTTCTTGCAAGGTGTGAGACAGTCTAAAAATGGATATCCATTTTAGAATGTTCTCTTGAGCGATAAATTGCCCTAAAATTTTGCTATAATTGGTTTAATTTCTATATTTTTTGAAGAAATCATTACGTACATAATATTTATTTTCTTTGCTATTTAGTGAATAGACTCGTCAACTCGTGACTCAGAATAAGATATATTTAGCGTTAGTTTAATTTATATATTAATTTTGTGACTTGAATGATTCAAATAACTATAATAAAATATATATATAATATATAAATGATTCGAGTACTCGAGTCCAGTCACTATCGCTATGCCTATTCATATAGTTTTAGACAATTGTTTTAAAGGCTTGAAATAAAGAAAAAGGAAAGATTCAAAGCCATCTAAAAAAAATTAGTGATTATAAAATTCTTTTTTATATTGATATCAAATACTAAACTTGCATTAGATTTGATGTACGTGTTCATATAAATTTTATTTTAATTAGCGGTTGATTTGAAAGTGACGTCTAACATACATTATATAATCTTATGAGAATAGGATTGATCCCCAAAAATAGGTACGCACGTACGTACGTACGTTATCAAATAACTTCGTTTAAAGTATTTTGATTGTTACACGGTCCACTTCGTTGTGTTTAAGATCTAAACTTGGGAGAACTTTGTATACCATTTGACGTATCATTATAATAACAATAGATTTATACGTACCAAATGATATATAATCGTATTGCTTAATATTATATTATAGTATTAAATTGTTAGATTAGTGAGCGTAATAATTTCGTAATTTCGCTTGGCTATGTAGTGGAGTAATGTATATTAGTCAATTTATGGACTAAATAAAGGTTGAGATAATACTATTTATTCTCCGGGACGGTGGGAATGATGAAATATTTCCTCAGTTGTATACGTGGCTCCACATATACCACTAGGGGAATATTTCAATTATTTCCCCGGTACGGTGAAAAAATGAGCTATTCAACATTTTATATGACGACATGACAGGGACTCGTTTCCCTTTACATTTTTAACCTTTTCGGGAAATAACAAAGGCCTGTTATCACCCCGGGAAATAACAAATACGAAAAAAAGAAAAAATGTCGGAGATGCTGAAATTTGGGGACTTAATTTTGAAAATATAAACCTACTAAAATACACCTATACACTTTTATTCTAAACACTAACCTTAAATTCTAATCTAACTATAAAAAAAAAGCTGAACAAAACACCCCAAAAATCTTTTAAGTTTTCATAATAACGATAAAGTCAGTCAAAATTTTCAGCATCATCCCCGACATTAACTAATCAAAATGAATTCCCTATAACGTAATCGTATGATCGGCGTGGGTTTTCGATCAGGGACGATGATTTTATGCATATCGCATAAACCGCATAATAGGTTAGCATAAAGTTCATTGCTATTAAGTAATTATCGCATAATTGTTTAATTGCTGATCCGAAATTTGCCGAATAGAAAATCAACTAATACCATAGGAAGGCTTTCGTATGAT